GAACAACGCAAAAAGAAGAGAAGTGACGAGAGAAAGAGAAATGTACAAACATTTTTTGCATAATCGCTCATATACATACATCTATATATATATATGTATGAATTGAGACGCGTGTATCTTCAATTTCATCATACGAAGAGAAAAAAGTGTTCGATTTTCTTTCATCATCTAACTATTGCCGATGTCCTTGACAAAACGAACACGTTTTATACTTGTACGGAGTACACGAAATGCCAATGCAACGGAAGATAACATTGAACCGTATCATATCAGTATATTTCGACGTTCATCATCTATGCCACCACTACCAAAGCGCTCCTCAACGACCAAACCCAATTTTCTTCGACGGGATCAACGACAGCAGTCAACTGAATCGTCTACGATGGTTACTAATAGATATCAACAGCGTGATAAAGACGAAATATCTACAAATAAGTTCTACAAACTAAATATTCAAACAATGAAAAAGAAATCGGCAAGAATTAGTATGCGTTTATCCAATGCTTTTGGCCTATCCGCGCATACAGTTGACGAACATTTTAATTATCAAGAACAGCGTTTTCGTGCAATGGAAAAGTTTCTGAAAGTATTCTTACGAAATGTTCATATCGATATCGAAGCTTTAAGAGTAATGTCATTTTGTTCGAACTGATCAAGAAATGACAAAAAACTGAACCTATGTCTTTCTAGGAAAGTATTTTGACGCAAGTGGATGTTGCTGAAGATCTCGAAGAATTATTAGACGATAAAATACCGGATCTTTTCCAACAATTCATTCGTTCAAAACGCTACTTGCTTGAAAATATTTTCCATGCTTTTGTAAGTTATTTGTTTACTCTTTTCATCTTCCATGTTACTTTGCTCTAGCGGAATCACATTGAATTGTATGTTATAAATTCAATTGATATGCTATTGAAATTATTTATTCCGCCATCGAATTTAATAGCCAAACGAAATAACAAATTATTAGATTATGACAGTGCTCAATCGGCTTACGAGAAAGTCAAAGATCAACAATTGAAACAAGTAGAAGGAGTTGAAATTTTAGTAATGAAAGATTCTGATTTGCCAGGTATCCTAGGCAAAACAAGTACTCGATCTTTCCAAACATACCTACGAAACATTGAATAATCAATTGCTTGAAGAACTACCTATCCTATACGAAACGAGTTGTGAAATATTATCACTCGCTACAAAGGAATACATTCGAGCATATTATCGTTTAATGCAACACATGAATACAAATATTCAACTTGTTCTTAATAAGGTTCGCAGATTTGAAAGAAAAGTATGTCTTGCGAAAACTCTTTGATTTATCATTAGACGATTCCGTTAGTGACTTCGGAACATTTAACTTGGCAAAACATCTTAGAACGATATTTAACTAAGAATGATGCTGTTGGCGAACAGATTTTTCAATTGACAATTACGGCAAAGAATTTCTCCGAGCGAGTAAAAAGTTTATCAACATCGCGAGTTGGGTCCGGAGTGGCTAATACCTACAATTGTGATAAAGTTTGTTATCGTCAACGATTAGTACAGATAACATTTTCATTCTTTTGTTCAATAGGAAACGTACATACAAACAGACGAGATTCGACAATCCATGAAGAATCGATACCCAGAAAAAGATCTATTTGTTGTCATTCAGGATCATATTGGATATTCAAATAATCAATCAACGATGTCACGAACCGAATTCACCGTTCAAAATGTAAGTATCTCAGTTAATTGAGCGAAGTAGCTTGTCGCGTATAGCAAATGCTAAATATGAAAGCGTTTATTTAAAAGGGTGATCTGGTCAGCGTTGTTCAACGATATGATGAAGATCAGCCGTGGCTTGTCGATAACGGAAGTACGAAACATTATTAGGAAAAAAAAAGAATATTCTGATCCTGTTGTTTAGTCTTGCAAGGTTATCTACCGCGATGTGTTCTCGTTCCGTTAGTAACAAATGCTCAACCTGATTCTCGTTCTATTCCACCACCAATACCAGTTCGTCACGATCTACGAACAGCTACACGAGCTCCTTTACCCTTACCTCGTACGAACGTTCGTACGAAAACTATCCAACCTCGAAGTTCCCTATCGAGAGATAATACAGGTTCTGAACCATGTTTAATCAATTCTGCGCATTACGTCGAAGAAGTCAACGAACAACTTTATCTGAATCAAGTTCAAGCTCGATTCTCAACTTCAGTGATTACTAGTGATTGTCATCACTATGCTAGTATTGATTTAGAAGATTCAACTACCGAGCAGTCGAATACAGATGAACAAGTAAAACTTGTGCAAAAAACCTATTTTCGGTCTCATTTATTGGTATATTTATTTAGATCTATATCGCCTTATATGATTTTAATAGTACAAGCAATGGCGTTCTTTCTCTGTGTATTGGCGAACGATTGAGAATGTTACAACGCTTTGATGGCGATGGGAACGAAGAGTGGTGGTTTGTGGAAAAGATTAACGAAACTAAAGATAAAGGATATGTGCCTGCTAATTACATTCGAGCAGCCTAAGAGAACTGATATGTTTTCAAATGAATTCGGGCATGAAATTTGTTTTTATTTATTTTTATTCGAAATAAACAATGAACTCAACAGGAGTCGAAATACGAATCCTATTGCAGCGATACCAAAATACATGTGATACTCTTTTAGCAGTAGAAAATTATCAATTACGAACATAAAGAAGGAAGAAAATAAATATTTGCCTTTTACTTTATTCGTCTTTCCATTTTACTTCGTAAAAACAAATTGCTTTTCTTAAGGTCAAAAAAAAAAGATAACTAAGCATTCTCTCGTTTGAAAATGACAGTAAAACACGGATTTTATTATAACAAAAACCATGATGATCATTTGTATATGGATGAAACATCTATTAAACAAATCATTGAACGTTTATCTTCACCACCGACTCCATTTGTTCTCTACAGTTTAAAACAATTTTCTCATAATGTTAGCACTTATCAGCATGCACTTGCCGAGCTCGCACCAATGCGTACTCAACTATCGTATTCGATGAAAGCGAACTACAATCCTCATTTATTGACAATCCTGAAATCATCTCGGGTGATGTTAACTACAGTGAGTGGCGGAGAAATGCAGTTAGCATTGTCCAGTGGATTTGAAGTAAATTCGAACGATTTGTTTGGCGATAAATTTTTGTTTATTTCTTGTAGCCATCGTCAATCATCTATAATGGTAATGGGAAAACCGATGAAAGTATCCAAATGGCTATTGATACTGGTGTTTTACTTAATGTAGATAGTTTGTTCGATCTTGAAGTTATCTTTCAATATGCAAGAAAATTAAATAAGATTGCCAATGTGCTTATACGTGTGAATCCCGATCTAAGCGATTCGCATGTTCATGCTTATAACACAACTGCATCGAAAACGAGTAAATTTGGAACGAGCATCGATGAATTGGAGCCGTTATTTACAAGGATCGAGGAAAATCAAGATAAATGGATTCGTTTGTACGGTTTTCATTGTCATCTAGGTTCGACCATATCGAATACACAGGTCATTGTCACGTGCGTAGACAAATTAGTGGCACTGTTTGATACAAAACGTTTTCCTCATCTTCGGTTTCTTAATATCGGTGGTGGATTAAATATTGATTATAAACGATACGCAAACCGTACAAACGAACAACCCGAAGAGCAAATTGCAATTCCTACGATTGAAGAATATGTTCAAGCAATAAAAACACCATTACAACCCATTGCTGAGTTAGTCGAGTTGATTGTTGAACCTGGTCGAAGTTTAATTGCAGATGCCTGCATATTGATAACACGTGTCTTAGGACAAAAACAAACAGGCTCAATACGACAATTAGTTGTTGATGCTTCAATGACTGAATGCATTCGGCCTGCATTATATCAAGCCTATCATCATATTGATACGATTGTTTCATCGACAACAGATGAACATACTCTATATGATATCGTAGGACCTGTTTGCGAAAGTGGAGATTTTCTTGGTAAACAACGCTATCTACCAAAAGCATTGGCACGCGGAGATTTTCTAGCAATATTCGATGTTGGTGCTTATTGCTCAAGTATGAGCTCGAATTACAATATGCGGCCACGGCCTGCTGAATATGCGTTAGATGAACATGAACAGATAAAAGTCTTACGAAAGAGAGAAACTAATGAAGATCTTCTTCGAACCTATTGTGTCGATTAGAATTCTTCGCTTTCTTTGTGATGAAAAGAATAAAAGATAGTTTGCTGATCGATGATTTTGTTGACAATTGGCAATTACCTTGATATACAATGAGAATATGCAGATAAGACACGATCTAATTTAGTTCTCAGACACTTGATGACAACATCGGCATTATACAACATTCTCTTTATCAATGTCGATGAGAAGACGTTTTAATTGTTCATCTTTTTTCTCTATTGATCTTACAATCTAGCCCACTGGACGAAAAAAAAACCATAAAAACAACAAGACCATTGATGGTACATGTTATGTATTATTTTAATCTAATCGTTTTTTTACAAGGAGAAAGTTGCACCCGATATTCACGTTCAGACAATAATGACAGTCTGGGTATGTGTCTATTGTTTCATGTGAACTTTCATGTCAATGTACAGGACAAGTAAAAAGTTTACAATAAAGTTCACCGTCATCATACGGTCAAATGTGCTGGGACAATCGCTGACCATCAGTTGTATGTCTACTCAATAGAAATTTTTCTTTCTCTCTGTCTAGTACGCTAAGGCCTACTTTGTTCTGTTCTATATTATTACAGAACATGGTTTATGTACGTGCATATCCTATCTATCCCTCGTTATTCTTGATTTGAAAGCAACAAAAAGTCTAAAGAAAGAACGAGAGAGAGAGAGAGAGAGAGAGAGCGCATGAGAGAGGAGGGAGGATAGGACATAAGTAAAGAAGAAAAAAAGAATAATAATACAACATCTATATGCATACGGTTTACATTACTGAGAATAAAGATTGAAGTTGATCCATTAAAATTAAGATGAATCTTATACATCTTTGTATATTATTGATTATTGTTGATCAATGTTATGCTAGTCCACTTGAAGATATTTCTGCTATGCCTGATTTAAGTTTAGTAAGTTTTGATTGCTGTAATAGATCTGTTTCTCCTCTATAAAGAAATCTTTCTACGTAGTTTTATCAACAACTAATTCGTCAACCAGGCCTGCAAGGATTATTACAAGATATCTATCAATCTCAACAGCCTATGATCACAGGAGAATTTACTATATTTGCTCCGAGTAATGATGCGATGTCTCGTATCAATCGTCGAAATGAAGACCCTAATCTGCTTTGGAAGTATCATATTGTACCTGGCCGCTATGATGATCAAGCACTCTATAATCTGGCACAAGAAAAACTCAATCAGGCCAGTCCAAGACAAATGACGGATGCTCGACCACAGAATAGTTTACTAACGTTGGCCGCTCCTTTTCAGGTTTAGAAAAATTGCGACTTTTTCAGATACATCTCTATACGTTCTTTCGTACAGGTCTTCTACGGCGTGGGCTTTTATGGTGGCACAGGTCCGTATATAAATGTAAGTTATGATAACACAGGTTATGGCCAAAATGGAGTTCCTGGATCTCCAGGGGCAGCAATCAACATAACGAATACTTTTCAAAGTTCTCTACCATTGAATCCATATCTCGGTATATTCGATAAACAGGTCAATATACCTGCAAATCTATTTTATCTCTTTCTCTTTTAAGTCAACACAAACAATTATAATCCGAATCAACAAAGCCAAACCTATGTTGTTGCGCAAGGTAGATATACTTTGATGTCAATGAAGATACGTCGATGTGAAATTTTTCAGGCAGTGCATCATCTGGGAATCCGAATTTATTTCCACCAAATTTGACCAATTATTACACGAATGTGTTCAATCCAAATGTCAATACACAATTTCTTCAGAATGCCAATCCACCCACTTCGAACTTCAACCCTAATTTTCAGCAATCTCAACAACAACAACAACAATATTTTGGACCAATCAATTATCCTGGAATCGGAATACCAGTAAGTTTTCGAAGACGAATCTATTTCATGTTCTCCTGAAAATCATTGCAGCGTCCAACAATTAACAATGCTTTCGTATTACAATCACGCACGATGAGTCGTGGTGTGATCAATGTGATTGATAATATTCTATGGCCGCCTGAAAGACGCGATCAAACACAATTTAAAACTGCTTACGATGCTCTTGAAGATCCACAGTTTTCGTAAGATCTTTCGTTTTACGATTCACAGGCAAATTTTCCTGTCTGTTCTATCTAAAGGCGTCTTCGATTATTGGCTGATCGTAGTGAATATTTTCGTTCGGAATTACGTTCAGTAAATCAACAAACTTGGTTTCTACCAAATGATCAAGCATTTGCCAGTTACGGTACTGGTTTAAGTTTCCTATTTGAACCATTGACTGTGGAAAATATAAACGATATAAATGATGTAGGTGAAACTATTTTATCGATTCTATCTGGTTCACGAGTGTATTTTATAGTTTATCAAATCACATATTGTTCCACTTGTACTATATCCAAGTGTAATGGACGCAAGTAAACAAATAAGTACATTGAGTATTGGTAAATGGGTTACGTTTCGCAAAACTGCACAATCGGAAGCGGCATTTCAAGGTGAAAATGAGTTATTCGACTGATATGGGTTGATATATCGTAGGATTTGAATTTGTAGTTGATGTTGTTTCAAATCGACAAATTGCACATATTGTCACGTCACGGCCAGAAGATATCAAAATCTATGGTAATGGTGTCGTCTATCCAGTTACTGCAATTCTTAGTGGTCCTGCTCGATCAGCTGCTGATGAACTTGCTCGAAGTTATCAGTAAGTTCGTCGCTATAGGATTGGATACAAATGTAATTAACTATTCATAGATATTTTATGGCTTTGATTCAACAATCGGGTGATACAGAATTAGTTAATTTATTACAAGGTAACACGGCTGGTTTAGGCAATACGGGTCCAAATATATTCAATCCACAAAATTTGTTGAACATCACTGTGCTTATTCCGCAACAAATAGCTGTTCAACAATTAGGAAACTCGCAAGAATTGAGCAAGGTAATTCAAATAGAATAACGATGATTGATATTCGTATTTCGAGTCTTCTTCGTATGTTTAGAATTTGCGTCGACATATTTTACGTTTTCCTGTGTACACTGATCAATTCTTAATGGGATCCAGTACATTTATTCAGCAGCAGCAGCAACAACAACAACCTTTCGTTCAAACTGGCTTTCAGGGACCAATATTTCAAAAATCAAATCCGGCTCCTAATAAAAATATGCCACGACGTCGCCGCCGTCGACGACAATTAAATATACCGCCTAATATTAATTTTCAACAACAGCAACAGATACCGATAATTCAACAACAGCAACAAATACCATTAGTTCAACAACAACCGCTCAATCCAACACAAAATCCAAGTTATTATCAAATCCCAACATTTCCTTCTTCAGCTATTTTTCAAGATGGACAAATATATCCTACCATGGATCCAACATTCTCCATTCAAGCACAAATTTCAAGTGGACCAAACGGAAATGGTATGTATATCTACACTAGTGATCATAAATTTTGCATAATACTGTTTAACTTTGTTATCTACAGTGGTAACATTAATTGGTCGCCCGGAAAACTCCCTCCCGTTCACAGCTGCAATACTCAATTCTGAATCGAATATACCTATTAAAAATGGTGTCATGCACGTTATTCGAGGTATTCTATCTGGAACAGTTATTCCAATAGATACTGTGCTTTCCACAATGCAAGGTGCAAGGTAAGATCGATTCATTTGATTTGTACCAGCATCCTGTTTGTCGAAAATATAGTTCATTTACGCAACTAATGCAGCAAACAGGCGTCATCGAACAATTGAAACGATCTGGACGACCATATACTCTCTTCATTCCAACTAACACTGCCCTACAATCAATTGGTGTTACAGCTGACTTTAATCGAATCCGACAGGTACATAAACTACAGAGATTTCATCTGTAAACTCCTGTTAATTGTTTTGCAATCTTTTATAGTTTGTTCTTCGTCATATATGTTCCGATGTTCTTCTGGATCCGATGACAAACGTCTTACGTCGTTCTGGTGGTTATTTTAGTCGTAGTCAAATGCCTGCAGCTCAATCACAATCACAATCACAATTGTATCAAGCTATTAAACGATCTCGTCGAAAACGGCAAGATTGGGCTGATACCTGGAGAAATGGAACAATTTCTACTGGGGGACAAACCTTCCGAGCACCAGATCTTGGTCCAGGTTATTTTCAACCTCAACAACAAGTTTATGGAGGATACCCTGCTGCACCGTCACCCTTTTGGTCATACAATCAATTATACAATCCAGGTTATGTTATGAGTGGCTATGCTAATCCTAATTCGGAATATTATCCTGGGTATAATGGTACTTATGCCGGTGCAGGTCATTTCGATTATCAATCGTTGGGTGTTCCTAGCCAAGTAGCACCTGAAGGTGTTTGGAATCATAGTGTTAATGGTGTGTTTAATCCACAACTCAATGTTGTGCCCATCACTGGATCGACTATCGGCAATGTTGGCGGTCAAAGTTATTATACAGGCTCAGGTGGATTTTACAACGGTGCTAACTATGTTACTGGACCACAATCATGTACGGCTATGACAGGTGACCGTATTACTATTCAACCATTACCTAATGCACAGCCTACAGGTACGTAGTGAATGACGCTTGTTACTCTATGCATGTTGCCTTCGTCGTCTTCTTCTTCTACTCGACTATTAATAATCTTTCGTGTTTTTCTTATAGGTTTGGGTCCATCATCATCTTATCAAAGTAGTTTAATTGATCTTCTCTACGCTAGATATTTTTACATATCCTCTTCTAGGTTATGTGGTAACTTGCTGTGGTGATCAGTCTGTTAATGGTATGGTTCAATCATTCAATGTCTACCCTCCAAGTTATGCAGTCTACATCATTGGCCGATCATTACTAGGCTACGGTCAAACAATTGCCAACATGTACAATCATGCAATCATCCTGTATCC